CGGTGGAGGAGCTTATAGTCGTGCCATAGCTAACCTGAAGGTGCAACTGTTGCAGTTATAACTGAGCAGTGCTACACTACAAAGGAAGACAAGTAACAAACAACAAGAATGATATTGCTTAAAAGCTGGGCGTAAGTTACTGCCGATAGTAATAATATTTCTATACTAGTGGTGCTAATACCGGTAATCATACTTAGTAGTGCTAGTACGTAAGACACCGTAATACACCAGTTTGGGTGATCAGTAGGCAAAGTCAACGAAACAGTACCCACTTTAACTGGACGTTACTTACCTCGAAGTCACCCGTATGCTTGAAGGCGGATCCTCATATTGGAGATGACGAGGCGATGATCGGTCCAACCGTGCATAGGCTAAGTCAGTTGGAGCGTATGTGACTGCTGGTCGACATGCGTAGGTGGCTCTCCGTAGGTGTATTGGCAGCACACTGTATGTGATAGGGATAATTTGAATGCAATGACCAAGTGTCCCGGGTTCAAATCTCGGGGGTTCCAATGCTTAAGATTGGGTATGACTGGCTGATGACGGTTAACAAGCCAGAAATGGCCAGTCCGGTCTCCCTTTGCTTTGTCGGATCCATTTCATAGGGATAAATGTTGACGAGATAAAGGTGCCAATGAGGAGCGACATAATGACGTGGTGCAGCCAGCGGCATTTTACCGCAGGTTTTCGTGTATGCGCATGCCGCCCAATAGAACCATGCGATGGATGAATGTGCATGGGTAATGCGGAGAGTGAAGGCGAGTGCGTTGCGACTGTATGCCGGGGCTCCAGGCACTGGTTCCCCAGTCTCCACGCGATGGATTCGCGAGTGACTGACCAGGTTGATGCGTGAGGTGACTGTGCGAGTGCAGTGAGCACAGACTAGGTCGACGGGTGTTGGGGTTGTAGAGCTGGTGTTGGTGGTGGTCAGGCTGGTTGAATGGGTGGGGCTGGAGCCGATGATGGATGTGCTGGGCGTGTCGACCTCGCGATGAATGTCGTTGTGGTGTATGCGCGTGTGACCTAGTAGACCCATGCGATGAGTGGATGCGCGAGGGCAGTGAGAGCAAAATACACACAGATGTAAAGTCATTGCCGAGAAGACAAAACGTGCACAACAAAAGCCCGATGGTCAAAACTGTCTTCTAGGGTCGCCTAAACATCTATTCCAGATGTCTTACGTAATTGGCGGGTAAACAGTTAATTCCTGTTTAAACAGTGTAAAGGAATACTTAATTGCGACGAGAGTGACCAACAAATATTAAATTAAAGCCATTCATAGCTGTTTCAATGAGCTTAATAGAACCAACTCCATCAACACAAA